GAATAAAGAAATAAATAAATAAATTAAAAAAAAAAAAGATCTTGAGCTAAAGCTGACCTAGGCTACCTGCTGAGTTCCAGGCCAGTCTGGGCTTACAGAGGGAAACTGTTGTCAGATCTTTTTCTTTTTGGGGGTGGCGGTGGTTGCTGTGGGAGGGGAGACAATGCTGAGAATCCAACTGGGTGGCCTGTTTATGACAGGCAGGTATCTGTCTCCAAACTATATCCCAGCCCCGCTTTGTCCTGTCCTGTCCCTTGTCAAATCAATATGCGCAATAAAACACAATAACGAAACACAGTAAACAATTATTTGCTGTGCTTCTGGGTCTGGAGCCAGGATGTGATGGGTGTTTGAGCCTGTTTTCCTCCGCTGGCTCATGTGCTTCTGTGGAAGAGTTCTGACCAGTGAACTTGGATGCTGGTCCCCTGTGAGGGAGGACACTGTGAGAGTCAGCCGAGTTTACCCCTGTAAAGTGCAAAGAGCAGGGTTCTGCAGGAAAATTCTCAGCAGCGGTCAAGTATAGCTTCTGTGATTTATTTATTTCAGAGATCTGTGATATCTATGGAGAATTACCCCCGCTAGGATTTTTATCCTGTGCCCATTGGTTGCCTGTGTGTTTTAACACAACGAGATCGCCCTAGGTCATCTTGTACCTTATGCTCTTCATGTGAAATAGCATGGTATACCCAATTTTTTTTATGTTAGTGCCTGCGTCATGCCTAATATAAGGTGATATATTTTATTTGTTCAACCCTTCATTGCTAGGTATGTTTTTCCAGCTTTTCAGCATATCATGTCCCAAACACTGCCTTTGCAGATATTACACAGATAAACATGTATGTATTCAGGAGTACTTTTTAGAATACCTTTGGAAATGGGTTTGCAGGGAAAATGTAATAGTCTGTCTACCTTCAAGCCCAAACACTTGGTTTAGACATTTAAAAATTCGCACATCCATCTGGCTTTTGAATTTCATTATAATTTGGTTGTTCTTTCTAACTAAAGGCAAGGCTGGAGAGACGGCATAGCAGCTCCGTTAAGAGCACTTCCTGATCTTGCAGAGGAATCACAGTTTGGTTCCCAGCACCCATGTTTATTGGCAGCAACCATCATAAATCCAGTGCTGTTGACTTCCATGGGCACTGAACCCCATCTACCCCACTCTCTCTCCTTTAAAAACAACAACAACAAACAAACAAAAAAATAACTTTCTTGCTTTTTTCCAAATTAGTAAGATTTTTTTTGTAGTAGTATATTTACAAAAATATATTCTAGAAACCCATTGTGAATGTTTTCTGCCATATTTTTGCCTCTCACAAGTCAAAATTCTTCCCTTTGATTGAAAAAAAAAAGTTTGACTTGTGTCTAATAGACTGACTGGGGCATGAACACGGGTGTGGAGAGCTGTGTGGCTTGGGCAGCCTGAGCTTTCTGAGCCATCACCCCAGAAGGTGTCACTCCCTGGCTCTAGTCATCCTGAACCATTCTTGCAGGCTGCTTGCTTTTCTGCCCTTAGCAGTTGCTTAGGATTGGGTTGCTTTCCAATATTATATATTTGCTTTGATATTTGCTTATAAAAGAGAATTCTAGAAGATATATATATATATAAATGATGTGTATATATTACATATATATATATATATATATAAATGATTACTCAGTTGGGACAATGTAAATCAAGACAAGCATTTCTGCACTTAATTTTGAATTTATAAAGATTTATTTCACAGTTAGTTGGAGCTCTCACAGGAAATAGCAGTGGTGTAGTGCTGTACTTACTGCCTTAGCTCTTTTGCCATTCGTTGTAATAGGACCTGATCTTGAGAGTCATTCATTCCTTCTCTGCGGTCCATACAAAGAAAGAATATAATTCTAACCACATTTTCAGTCAAATTACAAATAGACGAGTCAAAGGCATTTCTCATAAACTGTAGCATTTTATATTGAAAAAATTTATTCTGGTTCTTTCTATCCCTCCCCCTTTCGTCCCCCCCCCCACATTAGAATTCTGAGATGTGGTTCAAGCGGCACAGCATTGCTATTGGAGAGGTGCCGGCTTGCCGTCTGGTCCACCGAAGACAGCTGACCGAGGCCAACGTGGAGGAGATCTGGAAGTCCATGACGCTATCCTAGTATGCACGCTTGATGTTTGGGAAATTGTGGGGTTCTTCTTTTTGCTTATCTCTTTCCTACTCTGCATCTTTAGTTTTCTGAAATTATGTTTAAAAATCTCAACTTTGCATAATCTGTACTTATGCTGTTTACATATATAATTTTACTGAATTTTTGAGAATTTTCTATTGTTAGATATGTAATAGTTAAAATATGACTTTGAATTCTTTTTAACTTTTTGTAAGCCTCTTGAGACATGCTCTTGCTTTGTAGCCCAAGCTGACCTTGAACTCTCTGTCATTCTGCTCAGCCTTTGGAGTGCTGGGACTGCATATATGTCCTACCATTCCCAGCTTAATGTTTTCAACTTTCAGTCACTGACATCTTCAGTTTAATAAGGGATTTTAGTTAAAAAACTGTCTTAAAATTCAAGTTGTTGTGTGATTAAGTAATTAAGGAAGTATGCTATTGGAAAAGGATATTCTAGGTTATTTTAAATATATTCCATTGCTAACCCACTGTCTAGAAAGTTTGGGTGCAGTAAATGAAAACAGTGCACCTTAAAGATTGATCTTTTGAGGTGATAAGGGGATGCTCAGTGGATAAGCGTGCTTGCAGTGAATGCAGCGAGGACCTTGGTTCAAATCTCCAGCGCAGTATAGAAACTGACACGCCTGCTGGTGCCTATAACCGCAGCACTGTGAGGTAGAGATAGGTGGATTCCTGGAGCTCTCTGACCAGCTAGCCAAAACAGTGAGCTTGGAGTTCAGTGAGACCTGCCTCATAAAACAGGGGAGGGCTACAGAGAAGGCATGAGACACCCTTCTCTTACCTGGACATGAGCATGCTTGAGTGCTGGCTCACATGTAAACATACACCACACATGCACATACACACACACACACACGTGTACACACACACACACACACACACACACACACACACACACGGCGGGGGCGGGGGGAGAGAACCTATTGTATTGCTCAGTGTTTAGCATTACTGAAACAAACTTTGAAACTTTAAAATTATTTTAAGAATAAATTATTTATCATTATAGTTTACAGAAAGTTCTTGGCCTGGATTCCCTGGAAGAAGTTCTAGACACCAAACTTGTCAACTCCAAGTTCATCATCCATAACGTGTACAGTGTCAGCAAGCAGGGCGTCGTCATCCTGGATGACAAGTCAAGTGAGTGCACAGCCCTGGGGGCTGCTCGGACCTCACATGGGCACACACGTCTCTTCCTGAGCCCCAGCGGAGTCTATGCCCTCTCTACATTTATCTGTTTTCTATCAGTGTTTTACCCAGTGTTTGGGTCATTAAAATGTCATAGAAAGACGAGTGTCCAGGGAGTCTGAATGCTGCGGTCATGGGCAAGAGTTACCATGTGGTGATGATTCAGGTGGCACTGGCCACTGAACCTAGGACCTTGTGAGTGCTAGTCAGGTACTCTAGGAGCTGAGCTACATTCTCAGCCCCACGTTTAGGTTTCTGAATTACCTTTTCACAATGGTGTCAGTAAGTTAGGTTGACTAGGATAGTCTTTATTATTATTCATTATTATTTTAATGAGATAACTTTAAATGTTGAAAGTATTTTTTTTTTAATTATTTTTTTTTAAGCTGGCTTATAAATCAGGGACTAAACCAAACCACAAACCAAAACATGCCTTTAATTTTTTATTTTTATTTCTTTTTGTAACAAGGCAGTCATATTGCCCATAGTGCCTGTGGTGGGCCACAATCGTCAGACTGATTTTATTTGTTTATTTGTGGCAAGGTTTAACTATGTAGTTCAGGAACTTGAGATGTTCTTGCCTCAGCTGACAGGCAGGGATGTGTCCTCATATTTGACTCAAGACTAATTTAAAAGCCTTTTCTTATAGGTAAGTGTTGGACTGGAATTAAAAGGGTTCTTTGAGTTGATCTTTTAATTTAAGTTCTTGCTGATAATTGGCTGGAACTAAGTGACCTTTGGATGTGAGAAAATGGTCTAGTACTTTGGGGGACATAGGAAACTGTTAGTAAATTCAGGCTGAAGCTCCTAACCAGTGGCGTGTACAAGACGGGTCACGGTGTGTGAGCGGAGAAGAGGTTTAAGTAAGCTGTGTCCCTGGACAGGAGGAGGACTTGCCTTGGGAAACAGGAGCACTTCCCCTGTCATAGGCCCTCCGTCAGGAATGGAGGACGTTGGCAGGCAGAAATCGGTGTGTGGAGCAGAATTGTACTTTGAATTGGCACTTAGACAACCAGTCAGGTGTTTTGTTTGTTTGTTTTTGTTTTGCTGTTTTTCTGCAACAATAGGCTGCTTCCCATACTATAGAATCATACAAATTCCTTTCTACTGTAGGCCCAGAGGGAAGAGGCTTTATCAAGTTATTTTGCTGGGATCTTTTTTTTTTTAAGGTTTTATTTTTATTTGTGTGTATGTGTGTTTCTGTGTAGGTTTGTACGAATAAGTGCAGTATCCGAGGAGACCAGAAGAGGGAGGTATTCCCCAGAGCTGCAGTTGAATAGGATTGTGAGCCATGTGATGTGGGTGCTGGGAACTGAAGAGCACCCCATGCTCTAACCACTGGGCAGTCTCTCCAGCCTCTGGGCTGGGCGTATCTTAGCCATGTCACTGCTGTTGTAAGGCTGAGCTGCTGCTTGCAGCCTGTGATTAATATGTCAGTGGAATGTTCTTGACCTGAAACATTTTGAAAATGGTAGCAGGTAAAATGAAAACTATATTGGACCTACAAAATATACTGTCGGTCCTGTTGCCCCCCACCCCCGCCCCCTGGCCTCTCATTTTGGTGCTAAGGATTGAACCCAGGGCCTCATGCATGCCATGTTTTTCCCTGGACAAATCATCCAATTCTTTCTTTTTACTACTGTTCTTAAAAGTGTATCCTATCCTTTGAGAAAGTGTTATTTCCCATTTAAGTACATGTTATAACATTGCTTCTAAAGAAAAGAAAAATTTCTACCTTGTAATTGTTCTGTACACAAATTGGTGAAATGTCTCATATTGCCTGGGCAATATGTGTGTGTATGTGTGTGTGTGTGTGTGTGTGTGTGAGAGAGAGAGAGAGAGAGAGAGAGAGAGAGAGAGAGAGACAGAGAGAGAGAGAGAGACAGAGACAGAGACAGAGAAAGAGAGACAGAGACAGAGACAGAGAGACAGAGAGAGACAGAGAGATTGAGTTATAAAGAGATGAATAAAATATCTTTTGTATTTTCCTTTTTATTCCTACAGAAGAGCTTCCTTATTGGGTCCTGTCAGCTATGAAGTGTTTGGCAAATTGTAAGTATTAATTATCTGCCAGTTTTATAAAAGTAACAGAAATTAGTGCCTTGAATTAGAAAACATTCCTGCTCAGTGGGCTGGACATTGATTTGACACCTGTGAGGCTGGCAGGGAATCGTTTGGCGACCATTGTGGTTTTCCAGTAGATTCATGACTTAGTCACAGCATTTTATATTGGAGTTTTAAAGGCATCTAGTTCTTCCTCGGTCTCATGGATGAATTAGACATCAAGTCCGTGCCACTCCTGCGAGCACATCGTAGGGGTGAAAGAAGCGAGTGACAGTGTACACCGTAGAGCAGCCGCCGCCTGTGGTGGTCTGTAGGCTTTCCTAAAATTCCTAAAGGGGTTGTTAAGCGTCTGCCATGTTCACATCTCGTGTGCTGGGCAGCTTCTGTCCTCTACGGGGCTTTGGAGGCCAGTGTTATAAGAGGAACAGGGTGTTTTAGAGAACCGGCCTGGCTGATCTGCAGGATTAAGGGGAGGAGCCTGCATTCAGAGAGACAACAAAGACTGTGTCAGAGATCTGCACATAAGATCTGGAGGCCTGGCCCAGGGTGGGCCCGAGGGAATGCACTTAGGCATAGAAAATCTCTTTAGTGGACACATGGCATGCTCCTCATTGGCTGTCATCAGCACCATCAAGGAACGGTATAATAAAGGCTTAATGAACACTATCATGTTCTTGGTATTTTCAGGAAGCGTAACCTAAAGAGTGGATTCTAATATTTAAAGGAAGAAACGCTTTATTATTATTACTGTGTGTGTGTATGTGATATGTATGTGTGCATGCGGATGTTGTGCGCACGCGGATGTCGTGTGCATGCTGTGTTGCCTGTGTGGCGGTCAGAAGGTGATTGGGGGATCGCTTCTTATTCTCTGGGCTCTGAGGGTCTTCACCAGATCATCAGGTTTGGACAGCCAGCACTTTCACCTGAGGAACAGTCTATTCTGCCCCAAGCATGTGGTTTTAATGAGAATCCTTGTTATTTTAGCTTATTAATAATGGCGATATTTGGTTTTAGAGAAGCTCTAGAGTATCATGGCTCTTTCAGGAAAAGGTTACTTTCTTATTTTTGTGTAGGATCAGCATATGCAGAGACAGGTGTGTAAGTTATTGAATTAGCAGACTGAATTATTAAGCTGAGTCACTTCTGTTGATAATAGAATAAAACTAACCATTGAGTATGGTTGTCTTTCTGGCCCTGTGTGGGGCGGTTGTTCCCTCTTATTCAGAACACACATAGCAATACCAGTTAGCATACAACTCAGAGTTCTCCAGGTTTAACTCTTAAAATTTTCACTGATGTTTGTTGATAATTTGGATACACTGAAATGTAGAGTAATGTGGCTTTAGCCTGGGGAAGTACTTTACTGAAGATTTTAAAATTGTGTGTAGTAGTGTGTGTGTGTGTGTGTGTGTGTGTGTGTGTATACATACTATTGCCATGCCATAGCAAGTGTGTGGAGGCCAGAGGATGCACGGAGGAGTTAGTCGCTTCTTCACCTTACGGGTTCTGGGACCGAGCCTAGGTGGTCAGACATGGCCATGAATGTCTTTATCCACTGTGCCATCTTGCTGACCCAGAAGTGCATTTTATCCTTTCTGCTCAACTGGTCAAAGTAAATTAAATAAAAATTACAACTTTGGCCAGCGGTGGCAGTGATGACATAAATGTACAATTGCGAAGCTCCAACACTTTTTCTGAGCTCCTGGAGAACCAAAGATGTGGAAGTTACCTGTGGGAATGAAGCTATAGTGTGCGCTGAAATGCCGTGAGGTGCATTTGTTGTGTGTGACTTTCGCTGAAGAAGGGAATGCTGGGAAGTGTGTACTCAGTTCCCTAGTTGGCACACAAAGCCACAGATGCCTGCAGTAAGGTGGGCATGACTGGCCATCTAGTAGAGGAAAGATGGCCTACGACTTTATAATTGCTACGTTCTAGAGACCAGGGTGTTGGGAGAAGGAGTGGGCTCACATGTATTGAGAGCAACCTTTACAAATGGTTAGCATATCACAGAGGGTTGATTATGTATCAAATATAAAAGGTAGCCAAAGGACAAGGCCAGCCTGTTGGACAGTCTTATAAAATTTCTAAGCTTTCCTGAATTCTCCTGTGTATGAAAATTTACTCTGAGTCTGTCGGTTACGACCTGCTCTTTGTCCTTACCTTTAGTAAGTGCAGTCTCCTCTTGAGTCCTCTGAAAGGGTATAGGTGACTATCTGGTGTTTTAAGGGCTACGTGCCTTCTTTTTCTAGAAGTCTGCTATTCTTCCTCCTCTTTTGAAGATTTCTTCAGTCAGTGTAGACCATGCACGCTAGGACCTGCGTGCTCAGTTGTGGGCCAGACCCTTTCATGGACGCTCAGAGGATGAAGATTGGTGTTAATGCAGAACTGGATTAACTGATTTCTTTTGCCTTTTTGTGTGTAGACATCAGAAGAGCCAATCAAAAATGGAAATAAAATAGGCAAAACATTTCATTCCAGAATCTGTCAGGAATAACATTATTATAAAAAGCTAGACTAAGGGAAAAATATGTCCTTAGAACTTAAGGTGATTAAGAAAGAAAAGATCTGTGTTTCCTTCAAGGGATTTCCCCCATATTTTTAACAAAGATGATGCCACATTCCCTAGGCACGTAACTGTTTATTACTCGCTCACCCTGCTAAGTACTAATTCTGGCAATGGGTCTTCTTGTTGAGATATTAGACCATCATTTGATTACGCTTCCTATGTGAGGAAGATGTAAACAAACATGGTTTATACAGTTGCTGCTAGGTTTATGCTTACAACATTATTTCAACTAATAAAATTAATTTTTAAGATGAGTACAGACTGTAAAGGGTACAATAAGTTTTGTTTTCGGCTAGAGATTTTATTTTTACCTATGTGTGTGTGGGGGGGTGTGCATGTGGGTGGAGGCACCCATAGAGGTCAGAAAGGGGGCATTGGATCCCATGGAGCTTCAGTTATACATGGTTGTAAAGCCATCTGGTGTGGGTGCTGGGAACTCTCTTAACCTCTGAGCCATCTCCAGCTCCCAGTAAAGGAGATTTTAGGGACACCATAAAGAGCCATTTCATGACGTCCTGGGGGATTGAATGTCATGGTCCAGAGCGGCTTCCTGTGTTACAGCTCGAATCTCTTAGCTCCCTCAATTCTGTGGGAAGAATTTCCTTGAATTCGTCTTTGTTGCTTTGTTCATCCTCTTGGGCATATCAGTCTATCTGGGTTTAACAGCTTTGTCCTCTGCTGGCCTGGAGCTGGTCACATAATTGCACTCCTTTTCGTCTCTGGTCCTCTTGGGACGCGCTGTTTCCTTCAAGGCCTCAGCACCTCCAGTTTGCTTGTCAGCTTGGCAGTGTGATCCTGTGCTCATTGTGCAGTGCACTGAGGGTGTTTGCTGTCAGATTGTGTGGATCATTCTTATTCCTCCTGGGACCTGGGTTCTAGAGGGACTTTCCTCTGCCCTCAGGTGGCACAGAGCGTGGCCAGGCCCAGGCTGGCTCAGAGCTTCCAAGGCTGCTCCAGCTCTACAGTGTGATCAGTTTTCTTTTAATAATTGGGCAGTGATTGTTTATAGTTCAGAAAAAATTGACAAGATAGAATGTAAAATTTTTCTCATCTTTTCAAAAAGCATAAAAGTTTCATTTGTCTGAAAGTTTGTTAGGAAAAACTGATTCTTTCAACTGTATGATTGTAGGATATTACAGGATAGTTAATAAACTCAAGAAGTTGTAAAAATTTCTTGATAGCTCATCTATTACATATTAACAAATTGTTATTTTGTTAACTTTATTAAGATTAGGAAAGCTTTGACTATTTGAAATGAAACATGAATAAAGTTTGCCTTGACTTGAAAAAAAGTTTTTCTTTTAAAATAGAGATATATTAAGTACTCTTCATTTTTATAATATATTCAATTAAACATTAATTGTATTTGAGCAAAAGTTATATGCCATTTCCATATGAAAACTTGTCTGTATCTCTCGAGAATCTATCTGTGCACACACACAGATGGTCAGACTATGGTACTTACAAGTAGCTGCCTCATTAATTGTTCTCTTTCTTCTTTTAAAGGGCCCAACTGTTCTGATTGGAAGCAGCCTATGTACTTGGGGTTTGAGAAAGATGTCTTCAAGACAATCGCGGATTACTATGGTCACCTGAAGGAGCCACTCCTTACGTTCCATCTGTTCGATGCTTTCGTCAGTGTCCTAGGTGGGGAGATATA